TTCAGTGCCTGGCTCACAATTATTCTCACCTCTCCAACTCCTTCCCTGATATTAGCAGACTTGAGCATAAATAATGATATTCCCTCAAATACCCTAACTTTCTAATTCCTTAAGGTCCTAATTTCCCACCCCACTACAACTATACACTGAGATGGTTATACCTATGATCTTACCATCACCCACGAATGTCCCACTTCCATGTTCATGAACTCTGAAATGCTTTTATTTGATCATAATCTGTCATCATTCCACCTCTCCTTCTGCCTGGTAACTCCAAACCTACTTCATCTTCACTGAGACTGCCAGTCACTCCAGCCCTGAGTTTTTTCCTGGGTCATCACACCTGCACTGTCTACACTCTCTTCCTTTTCCCATATTTGCTGCTTGGTGAATCAGTTCAACTCTGCACTGCCCTCTTTTCTCATGTCCCTTGACTTTTTAATCCTATTGATTTTATTTTATCCTATTGCCAAACCTCAGCCTTGGATTATTCCTGCAGTGCCTTTGCTCCTACTTCATGCTGTTGAAAGCTGGAGAAAAATCACAAAACCACATTAACTAGGTTCACTACAAATATTTGTTACATAGTCTCAACTGGGCCCTCACTGCAGCAAGGCCGTATGTTTAAACTTCCCTAATTATTCAATATCCCACTCATCATAGTGACTTTTTCCAGATCTTTTTGTCCTTCCTTAACCTTCCCATCACCCTCCATCTCCCCATCCTCTCAACTGAGAACTTTGCGTCATGTTTCACTGAAAAGAATAAGGCTGTTTGCTGAGTGCTCCCTCTTCCCCCTTCCTCCTCACATCATGTCACTCAGATACTTTCTGATACTCTCTCCTCCTTTACCCATCTCACATGAAAAGGTTTTCCTTCTTATTAAAGCAATCCCCTCTACAAGCACAAATGATTCCTTTCATCCCATCTTCTCCATCAGAGTGAACCATGTGTCATCCCTACTCTGACTAATCCTCAGTCTTTACCTGGATACTTCACTACTGACTACAAACATTTCCATATTTCCCCCTTCCTCTCCGCACTAACTATTGCCCCACATTTCTCCTCCCTTTTGTCGCTGAACTCCTTGAGAAGTCTGTCTGTAACTGGTGCTTCTACTTCCTTTCTTTTCATTCACCTCTTAAAACTTTGTGCAGTCTAGCTTCCAACCTCATTATGTAAGTGAAACTACTCTCCCCAAAGTCACCAGTGATCACTTATTTGCCAAATATTATGACCTTTTCTCAGTCCTCCTTCTTCTTGACCCCTCTGCATCCTTTGACACTGTCACCATTCTTCTCCTAACTTTTTGTGACACTATTTTCTCCTGTTTTTCCTCCTGCCTGGCTGACTTGATCCTTCTTAGTTTCTTTTGCTGAATTGTCATCTAGGTCATGGTCACTAACTATGGGTGTCACCAAAGCACTGTTTTGGGTCTTTTTTCCCTCTATGATACTGTGCTTGATGATCTCATCAGCTTCCACAAATTCAGTTCTCTGTGAAGATGATTCTCAGATCTGTTTGTCCAGCTCAAAACTCTTATCTTGATTTCTAGTCCTGCATCTCCAGTTGCCTGTTGGACAAGACATCGGCTGTCTTGTAGACATCTTAAGCTCAACATTACCAAAACCATACTTATTTTCTTTCCCTCTCAAATTCTCTCCTCTCCTTACTTTCCTGTTATTGTAGAGGGCACCACCATCTTCCCATCTCCCAGGTTCACATGCTAGATGTTACCCTCAACTGTTTTCTCTCACCTTACCACCTACCACATCCAATTAGTAATGAAGATCTGTCAATCCTACTTTCATAACATCTCTCACGTAAAACCTCCTCTCTCCTTTGACACTGATACCACCCTGGTCTAGGCCCTTATCACCTCATGCTTGGGCTATTAGAATAGTCTGCTGATTGGTTTCCCTGAATCAAATATTTCTTCTCTCCAGTCAATTGTCCACTCAGCTGTCAAAAGTGATCTTCCCTAAGCATGTCTCCCCACGGTTATTCAGTAACCTTAGGTGGCTCCCTAACCTCTAGGATAAAATATAAAATCTTCTGTTAGCCTTTTATAACCTGGCTCTTCTTAAACCTTACTTCCCCTTAAATACTCTCTGATCTAGGGAAGACGGCCTTTTTGTTTTTCCTTGCCTGCTATATTCTGTCTCAGAAAATAAAACTCAGAGCACTTGGGGGGGGGGGGCAAGGCAATTGGAGTTAAGTGACACTTGCCCAGAGTCACACAGCTAGTAAGTGTTATGTGTCTGAGGCTGGATTTGAACTCAGGTCCTCCTGACTCCAGGGCTGGTGCTTTATCTACTGCGCCACCTAGGTGCCCCAACTCTAAGCATTTTCACATGTCCACATGCTGTCTACATGCCTAGAACTATCTTCTTCTTCATCTCGACTTCTTGACTTTCACTTCATAATTCAGCTGAAGTCTCTTCTGCATGAAGGCTTTCTCAGTCCTTGTTAGTGTCTGCTCTGATAATGTCTTTCATTTATAGTTTATAGCTTGTTTGTACATAATTGTTTGAATGTTGTCTCTACCATTAGACTGTGAGCTCCTTCAGAGCACGGACTGTTTTTTTTTTTTTTTCTCCTTTCTTTATATCCCCAGCACTTAGCACAATGCCTAGTGCATGTTTGGCACTTAATAATGCTTACCCACTGACTAATTATGGACAAGATAACCAAAGAAGACAGGGCTTCTAAACTTCCCTATCTCTTTACCTATTTTCTTTGCAAATGGATCTTTCAGTTTTAGAACCATTTTTCTTTCCCATCCCCATTGAGACCCTGACCCTAACTCAGAGTTCTTGACTCCCTGACCTTTCCTTCCTATTTGCCTGGGTCTGCTCCTCACGCTCTTTGGTCCTGTATCTTATCCCATCAAGATACAAAAATTTAAAATTATCATTATTTTTATTTTATTATTTATAATCTTTTCAAAAGAAGTAGTTTGGGACAAGGCTTTATTATTTCGCTTCCTAGCTCAGTTTTGTCTATGAGTCAGTGAAAATATATTGCTGGTATTAGAGCTTAACAAATCACTTTCATTCTTAATTTAACACCCTGGAATAGTTAATATTTATATTAAGTGTGATAATCAAGGCGGCTTTTAAAAATCAGTTTACCTATGGGAAGACAAATATAAATAGAAGCATAATTCTTAGATTTCCTTATTATTCTTTCCAGCTAGGACTTTAACTGGGGAAAAAATGTGCGGCTTTCACCTCAGTTATATAAAATGGAATAATAGAGAAAGTAAAGGCCTTCAACAGTTCTAGTATCCTAGAATATCTTTCTCAGTGTACAGATATTCAGCGTAAGGTCAGATAATTTTGCAACATTATTTTCTTTTTAGTCATTAAACTGTTACTGGACAGTAGTCACTTTGACACCTTCTTAGGTTAAGAAAGATATTAGTAGGCTTAAAAAAAACATAACCAAGCAATTTCTGAATTGGAATTTCTAATGGTAGCATATTTACTATTTAGCAATTAATGTGAGCATTTCACTGGTTTTTAATTTTATAACCTTATTGTTAAAAGATAAGGTTTATCATGTTGTTTAAAAGCCATGAGATTATTTGTTTAACTTTCCACTTACTTGTAGGTTTGGAATTTTTACTGGCACAGGTTGATAATGGAGGACGATGAGGTGGTAGAGGAAGCAGAGTGAATTTCAGTGAGGTATTAGTGTTTTCTCGGGGCGATGTTGGAAAGTACCAGATGCTTCCAAGTGGAAATATTAGAGTTTGGGAGAACATCATGGATAGTGTTAGTATGGATGTGGAATAGGAAGACCTGGGTTTGAATACCTTCTCAGACTTTTACCAGCTGCTTGACCATAGGCAAGATACAACTCCTCTGAGCCTTGGTGTCTACATTTATAAAATGGGGATAATAGCACTTACTTCTGTCGTCTCTTGTGAAGCTCAAATGAGATAACGTGTAATGTTACCGTAAAACTATAACTCATGTAAAAATCAGTTTTTTGTTGTGGTGATTATTATTATTATTGTGCTCTTCTGCTAGAGGAATTCATTTTGTGATAGGCAGATTTAATGAAGTATAGAGTTTCCGAGATGCCATTCAAGTTAATTTTCAGTGTCTTAAAAAATTCTATACCAATCAAGTTAATTTTCAGTGTCTTAAAAAATTCTATACAAGTTATTTCTAGTGTGTTGAAATACTTTTCCATTTGTATTTTTGATTTGTGCTTCATTTAGAAAGATGGAAGAAAATATTCATTCATATACCTAATGTGCTTCATTTCAACTTTGATGTTCCTACTTCCTCCATATACTTTAGTTGTAGAAAATCTCTATATCCATAGTCCTAGCATCATTTTGCGATAGAATAATCTATTCCTAGCATGGAGTGAGTTGCAGGAAGGAGTTATGTTTAGTGGAAGAAGAGGAAACTGTCTTGTTCCCTAGCTCTTCCTGGGTCAGATTTTTATAATGTAGTTTGATTACTTTGTGACTTCCTGCAACATTAGCCATATCTGTAATGGCTCTGTAAAAGCAAATATGAAAACATTTTTATAAATAAAATATACAAGAGCAAAGATAAGCACATTTCATAGTCAAGCGTAGATGGCTTTCTTGTCTGACTTTGTTTATTTTTCTTTAATGCAAATGATTGAGAGCTAATAATTCTTTAAGCACAAATTATAGAAAGTATACTGAAATGTTTTTAGAAATTAAGACATTTTTATAGAATCATAGAATGTTAGAGCTGTGAGAGACTTTATAGATCATCTTATAGATAAGGAAACAGATGAGACCCCGAACTATAAGTAATTTACCTAAAGTTACATAACTAGTTGTAAATGAACCGTACCACAATTTTCTAAGCTTACATGTTTTGCATATTCACATTAAGGGTCTTCAGTAATTTCTCCTTTACCACACTAAAATTTGGTTGTATGTAATTAATTAAAAGTGCTTAAATTGAGTATGAGACTTAATGTATATTTCTCTTTTTTCTTCAAAGTTTCATGGTTTTACCCAAAAGAAAACATTCTCATCGTTATCTTCCCGATTTTGGCTATACTGCTTTCCTGGGGTCAATTCGGTATTGTAAGTAAGTACCAAAATAAGTTAATACTTTTTTTTATTTGTATACATTTTAGTAGTAAAATTGCTTAGTTCTTTTGAGACAGTGGTAGAGAAATATTCCATGAAACCATTTTGCTAATGATATGTGGTTCTGAAACAGTGCCAATATGATACTTAAAAATGTGTTTTGTAGTTATATGCAGTTGTTTGTGCTTTACTTAATCTTTTCAGTAGGCCACTCCTGCCCTAGCTCACTTTCAAGTTCCAAGGGTGAGGGTCTGTATTTTACTCCATCTTTTTAAGAATAAAAAGACAACACCATGAGTTTTAATGGCAGGTCCTTGGATCACAATAATGTTGATACTAAAATTATACTTTGGGGTCTAATGAACTATTTTCCCATAGTTAAACTTCCCAACATAAACAAATGAACTTTCAGAAAATACACTATTAGGGATGCTTGTTCTCACTGCTGAGAAGCAGTGTATTGTGCTGAATAGAACCTTTACTTGGAGGCAGGAAAGACCTGGGTTCAAGTCCCAGTTCTGACACTTGCAAGCTATGTAATAAGAGAAGTCATTTAATTGCTGTGAGCATCAGACAACACTCTAAAGACTGTTATTTATAGGTGAGGTTTGGTGCATATTAGAGAAAGCAGTTCCCCCAGGGGAAGTTTCTATGCTGACCAAATCAGAGGTCATTGATTAGTGACATACTATTTGTTTTTGCTGTATCCCTAGCAGCCACAGGGGGAAATACTAATTTTCTTTCATTATTTGATTAGATTCAGTCATATGACCATTAGTACTGAGTACTGACCTTCAGTTGCATCACATTTAGCACTGATTATTATTAGTCATTTTTACTGTGGGTAAAGTAGGTATTCTCCATGTTAACTTCCTATGATTTTTGTTTTTGTCTTTCTATCTCTAGCATCCGGCCTGGTGCCTTGCACTTAGTGAGATCTTATTTGTTGAATATTTTGTTGAATTTTGTTGGAGTGTAGGGAAAATTTCCTTATGCTCGCATAATTATTTTTTAAGATAATTCTGTGAATTCAGTTTTTACATATTAGTGATGGAAATGAGAACTTCTGAAGTTGTAGTAACAAGTCTTTTATGCAGACATGTCTGGAAGTATTGATAGGGTCGATTTAAAAAAATATATGCTATATGTATTTGCACTTATTAGATGTTAAGTTGCCATTCATTGAGATGAATAAAGATTTTAGAGCTTTGGTATCTTTGCCTCCTTCAGATACCTTGTAAAATGATTCCTCAGTGCCCTCACACTTGTGTCATCTCTGGCACTGATCTTTGCTGTGTACAGCTGTTCTAATCCATCTGCTTTTCTGAAGCAAAAAAAAAAAAAAAGAATGAATCAAGCAGCTCTATCTTCTTTCTGAGGTCGGTTATTATCCTGTTTATCCAAAACAGTGGTCCTTTCCATTCTCTGACCTTTGTGTTTTCCCCAGTATGACTTCTAAAAAATCACTTTCTATTTTCTTTAGTTTTGTTCACCAGCTCATGATTCTCAGCTCATGGTAAACATCCTGACACTCTTCTTGCCAAGATTTTGCATTGTTTCTCAGTGACCTGCTTTCAGTTCCATTCCCTGCTTATGTCTACTTTTTCAGATATAAGTTGGTTGGTGAGTTCTCTGTGCATTCCTTTTATTCTTCTTCATCAGAATTATTTCTCTTCCTATCTTCAAAATTTCATTCTTCAGAGGTACCCATCCATTGTTGTCTCACTTCTTCTGTGCAATATTAATCTATCAGAACCTACCTGTCTTTTCAATTGAACCCTCTGAATTCCCCTCTCCCAAAGTGAAAAATGCATGTCAGATTGTAGCCAGCTTTCATCTCTGTCCCAAAGTGCAAGGTGGAGTGGTCATTTCACCCCAGGTCAGCATCATTTTAACCCCATCAGCCAGATTCTACCTGTAGGGAGAGTCAGGTCCAGAATCTTAATTTTCCCTCGTTGGTTCATCTGTCTTTAAAAGGATTAAATTATTATTATGGCAGCTCAGGAAATTACCAGGTACTCTGCTTTTGGCAAAGAGAGAGTTTGAGCATTTGTCTTCAGTGGAATGCCCCAGGAATTTGTCTTTGGCTCCATGCAGTTGGTTGTTTATTTATTTTTTATTAATCATTTGGATAAAGGCACTACTTTACAGATGACACAGAGCTGGGGTAGAAAACTAGTACAGGATGATAGCATCCAAAAAGATATTGACGGGCTGAATCTCATAAGTGACATTCAGTAGGAATAAATGGACCATTTTACCTTTGGGTTCAAAAACTCAACTTTATAAGTACAAGATGGAGGAGACGTGGTTAGGCTGCAACTTATTTGAAAAAGACCTCGAAATTTTAGTCAACTTTTAGCTCTGTGTGAGTCAGCAGTGAGATGTGGCAGCTAAAAAGGCTAATGCAATTTTAGGCTGTACTAAGAGAGGACATAAAGTATAAGTTTAATTCTGGTGGCCATAGTTTAGGGAGGATTTTGGCATGTTGGAGAGCATCCAGAAGAGAGCATTTGGGGTGGTAAGGATCCTTGAATCCATGTCACATAAGGATTGTGTGAAAGAGCTGGTGGTGTTTAGCCTGAAAAAATAGAAGATTCAAGAGAGTATGATCAGTGGGTTCATACACCATCCCGATGCTTCTTGTCTGTGACTGGAGGCAAATGACTTCACCTCTCTGGGCCTTGGATTTCTCATCTATAAGATATGGAGGTTGGATTAAATGGTCTCTGAGGTCCCTTTCAGCTCTAAATCACTTGGCAGAATAGGCAGAGTGCTGGACTTGGAGTATGAAGAACTTATTTTAGATCTCACCTCCACAGGGTGATGTGTGACCCCGGGCAGGTCACAACCTTTCTCAGCTTTAACTTCCTCACTATCTAAATGCTACATAAAATCTACTTATTATATCTTTGATTCAGTGATAACCCTTCCAGTATGTGAAGTACTATCAAATGGGAGAGTGATTAGATTTATTCTCTTTGACTCCACAGGTCAGAATCAGGAGCCATGAATTAGAAGATGTGGAGGTGCAAACTCATCCATAGATCTCAGTGATAATTTTGAGGTCAAATATGACTCCTTGCATTACACTTTCTTGCTTGTGCTTCCTCCTTTGTGCATTTTATAGCTCTTGGAGGTGATGGGTTTTTATGTTTGTTTGTTTTTCTTGGTTCCTTTCTTGGATTTTGTTTTCTATTACTTCTAAGTGTCTAACTAATATATTCTTCTTTCATTGTAGCTCTTCTCTGTGCTATCTGGTTTGGGGTATATCTCTTATCTGAACATCCCTAGAGGTAGTTTTCTCTCCCTTCTTTTCAATTTTAAATCCCTTTTCAACTAGTCAACCAGTATTAAGTGCTTACTGTGTGCCCTTTGACTTTTACACATGTTACTTAGTCTGCTGTACTCCAAATCTGTTAGGGATAATGTCTTTAAAAATGGAATTTTTAGGCTTTGGACATAGACCACTAGCAAAGGAGAACTGAACAAAAGAAACAACAGTTTTTCTTTAGGCAGAGTTAATGGGAACTTCTGATCACTATGTGGACTATTTGAAAATGATTTTTTATTTTAAAAAATGGGATCTTTAACAGTAATCACAAAAGCTTAAGGTACCCAATTATCCTGGAAAGAGGGTGGCTCTAGATTACTTCTTGTAGGCCCAGGTGCTGTACCTAAACACAAGACCACACAGTTCCCAGTTCCTAGCAAAGAAAGAAAAGGAGAGAATATGATTATAACACCTAGCTTCCACTCCTTGGCTCAACTCCAGGTCAGAATATGGCCGTTAGAGAGAGGAAGGTCAGACTTTAACTACTTTTTCATGGTAACATAGAAGGGAAAAAAAAAGGAAATGTCATTGTAGGACATGAGGACTGTTCTCTTGTTGCCTAGCGGAAAGGAATAAGAAGAAAGTGCATTAGAAACTTATGTCTTGAAGCTTTATGTCAAATCAGATCATATATTCCCAGTCATGTCTCCATGGCCACTCTTCAGCTCAACTCCAAAGATAACATAGCCTCCTATTGCAAGTTCAGAGAGGAAGAAATCACTTGTGAACATGAAATTTTTGACCTAGTTAATCCATAGAAATTTGCTTCCCTTAATCCAGTCTACATGATCAGTTGGAGACCACAATTCAGAACCCAAAGGTATCCCACCTTTTCATGATGGAAAGTTGTCTTCTTCATGTGTGGTCCCTTGGGGAATTTTCATTTATTGACTGGAGCCAGTTCCCTCCTTGTTGGGATGACTAGAACATTTGAGCTGTCAAATATATTGTTAAGGATGTTGGAGCTGAAGGGGTAACACTTGTTCTTTAAGACTTAGTATGTAAATGAAGATTCTCAGTTTCATATACTCCCCCTTTCTATTCTGCTATAATATGGAAGTACTCATTTTAGTTGATGGTTGTAAACTTCATAATTGTTTAAAATGGGGAAAATAGGATTTAGCACAGCACTTTTCTAATGTATTTTCTCCTAGCCTAACGTCCTTGAATTTTCCTTTCTTGATTTCCTTTATGATTAGTCTGCTGCCCAAATATAGCCTTCCTTTGGATCCCTCAGCACTTGAGGGCCTTTAAAAATTGTTTATTTTTACAATGTTGATGTGATAGTATAAGTTCTCCTGTTCTGCTCATTTCACTCTGCATCATTACATACAAGTGTTCCCAGGTTTTTCTGAAACTATCTTTTTTTCATTTCCTATATAATAGTATTCACAAGAACATAGATAAATTCAGAGTCTGTTAATTATATGACATTTATATATCATAATTTGTTCAGTAACTCCCCAACTCTAGGTACCTGTTTAACTACCAGTTCTTTGACATGACAAAAAAGAGATAACAAATATTTTTGTACACGTAAGGCATGTCCCTTTTTATTTTATTCTCCTTGGGTTATAATTCTAATAGTAGTATTTTTGGTTCAAAGGGTATGTACAGTTTAATAACTTCTTGGGAATAGTTCCAAATTGCTTTTTAGAATGGTT